GAGTGTGCAGCCACTGCTCCAGCTCAAAATACGCCATAAAGGAAGTTCTTCTTCTTTGGTGTTTTACAATGGACTGCATCCACTCTGATGCATCACCGCTTCTTGAGACTGAACCCCACACCTACATTTGCGTGAAGGAAGTTTCACTGATGTGAAAACGTAATTCTGTCAATCTGCGTTCCATTACTCCGTGGCTTTCTCGAGGACGCCGGATGTGCGACGCAAAAAACAGAATATTGGAATTTAAGTTCAATTATAGAAGTGAAAATGAAAGTAGTCAAACTGAATTTTCAATACAACAAAATACAGTTTCAAACCAATGGATTTAATTCCAAATAAGGCAAATACAGATTCTTTCTGATGGCACAAGTTTCTGCCCATAGTTTAATAAACTTGCATATTTAATTTACACAACTCGTGGCTATTATCAGTTTTGGGAACCAATGCCTTAATCAACAACTTCTGTGTAAACTGTGAACAAAAACAAGTTCCTTAATGTGAACGTACTGAGTCGAAGCGATCCAGCCAGTCCTCTAATAACCGTAACCGGATTCTTTGGGTCTGTGCAGAACTGCAGCAGGACGGGGGAGAAGGCATCCCTCTTACTCTCCAACTGCAAAAACATGCATCCATGAACATTTCCAAAGATACCACCACCAAAACAAGACTTGTATTGCACGTAAGGCTAATACATAAATGTGTGACAGAAATATTTAGACGTACGTAGATGCTGGGAGTCGGAGGATTGAGCTTCTCTCTAGGAATGGGTTCTCTGGTTATGATGGGTTTAACAGAGAAGGCTGGCAGCAGAAAGGATTCCTTAAATTTTCCTTTGACACGAGTCCCTCTGGAACAAAACGAGAAACAACATGAAGGCTGCAATTAGGACAAATTCTTGATAACATAAAATTTTCATAAAGCTACGTCAGTGCACTTACTTGCAGGACCGGATTATTTCACTTGCGGTGTTCTTTATGCTGATTTCATTCAGAGGAATCCTTTTCTCCTCCACCTCGGAGGCGATGAACGTCTCCCGGTCCCCGCTCTCTACTTTGATCAGGCGAATCTTCAGCTCCTTCGGTGGCCCGTCCGACAGCGCCTTTAATTTCAACAAGTCTGTGGAACCCAACGACGAGCTAGGATTGGCATCGTTCTTATGTTCAGACGATCTCTCTCCCGAACTTGAGGTCCATTCAGCGTGCTCGCCTTCACTCGTGGAGCTGGCACCAGGCGCGTCTTTTCGCTTCCTTTTCTCCGATTCATAGTGACTCCTGTTCTTTTCCGATTCTCGTCTCTGATGATTGAGATCGCCAAGAATTCGGCGATCCTTTTTCTCCCTATGGCTCTTCCCATCCTTGTGCCGCTTGTGGCTGGAGCTGGAATGGCTGGACGACGAAGACGAAGAAAAGTCATCTCTCTTCTCTCGATGCTTTTTCTTGTCTTTCTTGTCCTTGTGCTTCCTGTTGCTGTGGTCATGCTTTCTTTTCTTGTCTTTGTGCTCTTTTACTTTCTCAGGTTTGCGTCCCTCTTCAGTTTTGCCATGGCTCTCTAATTTATCAAGTGACTGTCGACAAAGCATGACTTCACAGCTTTTGCCCAGCTCTTTCAGAGAAGACTCCGAGATGGTCGTCAGTTCGCATTCCTCTTTGATGACCTTAATAGGCTTTACGGTTGGCATATTCAACTTTTCAATAACGTTTCTTTCCTCTGTTTCTCCCTCATCTGTCCAAACATCACTGTCCTCCGTTTTCAGCTTCTTGTCTTCCAGTAGTGAACAAGGGGAGGACTTCTGAGGTGGGATAGCAGGGCTGAACGGTGGACTTGTTGAATCTGATGTGGGAGAACTGCCTTGCTGCTGGCGGTAGATATCGGGGCCCAGTGACAACGACGAGGAATATTTGACACCAACCAAAGCTGACGGAGGGGGTCTTCCAAAAGGCCCACCTCGATAAGCGTACTTCTGACTCTCCAAGACGGTTGCCAGAGATTTAAACATGCTGTTCATCCCCGTTTGATGGAGGTGGGGTCTTTGGGGTGGTGGAGAACAAGATGTGGTCTCGGAGTCTTCTTCAGATTCCTCGTCGGCCTCGCTTTTAGTTTGCTCAGGGAGACCATAGAGCTTAGCCAGGTCACTATGGCGGTAATTTGTGTTCCCTACTCCAATTCTCGTCTCCGCAGTTGATTTAGTGGCCAAAAGAACTTTTGATGAAGATTTAAGATAGTCCTCGTCGTCCTCAAGAGAAGAAGTCCGGCTGCAAGGGGACGCCAGAGAACCTTGGCGGCTGAGCACAGGAGGGCTTGAATTTGATCCCAAATCTTCCTGGTTTGGCTGCTGCTTAGTTGCTGGAATCAGGTCTGGGGCACACAGGTAGCTCTTAACAGGGTCAACACCGGGAGCACAGTTGTGTAAGAGACCTGCGGTCCCAGACTTCTCACTGCTGTACATTTCCTCCTCTTTTTTGATCGATTCATCCAACATCGCCATGATGTTAGCCAGCCCGTCGGGGAGCAATGCGGACAGTTCGGAGGACTCCTCCTCAAACTGAGCACTGCCAGAGTCATTCCTGGCGTTTTCTGTAGAACTCTCGATCACCTGCTTGTTGTGGATCCCCCCGATGGAGGTGGAGGACAAAGGTGGTGGTTGAAGGTTTTCTCTAGACATAGCTTGGTAGAGTTTGGGGGGCTCTCTAAGTGCCAGGGTAGGGAGAGGCTGTTGGGGGTTATCTCTGTCCCTGCCTGAGTCTTTGGGTTGATTAGGTGCTGCTTGCATTGTTGGGGGCTTATTGGGGTACATGAGCTGGTTCATCCCTGAGGTATTGTGTGTTGATGAGGGAATGAATGCTGCTCCGCTGCTGCTCCACATCTCTCTCTGCCGCTGCTTTTCTCTGGCGTACTCAGTCTGAGGCGTGAGGGGCGGGGGCCGCAGCCTCTCTGCGGACGTACTGGGCGCCTGGTTGGATTGACCCCCACGGCTGAGCCAAGGGTAAGGAGGAGAAGCCTGGGAGGCCGGTGGACCTGAAGGAGGTGCAGGGACAGAGGAGAGGGTAGAGATATGAGGGCTGTTGACGGAGAAAAGCCTTTCTAGATTTTCAATGGCCGTCTGCTCTTTTCCTTTTGCACTGCACAGTTTGTCCTCTTTCCTCATTTCCTCCAATTCAATTTGTTTTTTCTTCTCCTCCTCTTCCCTCTCTAGTTTTCTCCTTCTCTCCTGTTTTTCAGCTTCCCTTATTCTCTCCTCCTGTTGCCTCTCCCACTCCATCCTCCTCCTTTCCCGCTCTTTGTTCTCCCACTCTATTTTCTTCCTCTCCTCCTCTTGCCTCTGCCATTCTCTCCTTTTCCTTTCTTTCTCCATTTCCCTCCTCTTCCTCTCCTCTTCTTGTTTCATCTGTTTCTCCTGTTCTTGTTTCAGTCTCTGTTCCTCTTCCCTTCTCTCAGTTTCTTTCCTCTTCCTCTCCTCTTCTTGCCTCCGTTGTTTCTCATGTTCTTGTTTTAGTCTCTCCTCATTTTCTCTCCTTTTCCTCTCCTCTTCCCTTTTCTCATGCTCTCTCCTCCTCCTCTCCTCATCCAGCTTCTTTCTCATCTCCCATTCTCTTTTTTGTTTCTCCTCTTTTAACTTTTTCTCCTTTTCCTCTCGTTCCTTCCTCCGTCTCTCCTCGGCTTGCATATGTCCCTCTAGCTCTGCATCGAGCTTGTCTAAAACATCTCCGATCGACTGGCAGACAGTAGGCGGAGCTTGTGGAGTGGGGTACACCTGTGTTACTGTGGAGCTGGGCTGGTTCAGTCTGGAGGAGACTGCAGGATTGGGCGTTTGGGGAGCATTAGCTGGGCTGTATGTAGGAGAGCCGTGAAGCGGAGTTAAACCTCTGCTAGTAATGACACTGTTCTCTGCCCTCTGGTGCCCTGAGGAGAACAAAGATGATGAGGCGAACGAAGGCGCAGATTGTTTGACTTTAGCCTGAGCATAGTACGACATCTTTTCCTTGTGTGACTTTATGAATTCCTGGGGTTGAGGTTTGTGCAGCTCCTGTTGTTGAGACGGGCCTCTCTGACAGACTCCCTGCAGCAGAGCATCCACCTGAGACTTGGGGCTGGTTTCAGCACTGGTAAAGTTGTAGAGCTTTGGCTCCTGTACTCGTTGCCAACTGTTATTACTGCTGCCGCTGTTCACAGAGTAGCCAGCAGGGGGAGACACAGTCCCCATAGAGACAGCAGTTACAGCAGCCCCGTTAGAACTGCCGCTTCTGTAGGGGCCGACGGTGCAGTGGGCCAGGGATATCGGGGGATTGGACGTAATGACAGGCGTCCGGGCGGAGTTGGTTGGTGGGAGAGGCGGGCTGACGTTATGGTGATGCTGGGATGAACCTGGAAGTCGGCCGTCTACAACGTGATTGTGGCTCTGCTGGGGGTGAGGTAGCAGACCTGGAGGTGCGAAGATGCCCGGCTCCTGAATAAAGGAAACTTTCAGTCAGTCGATGTAACAGTATCAACTGCATTCACTTAATGACATTTGTACGGAGGATGCTCAGACTTGTCGTTATGATTTGACTAAATGATCGCACATTGTTGACTGTAACGTCACAAAGCGGGTGAGCCACAAATGAAACGGCAGAAGGAGAATGTTATCTGTGTGGATACAGGCCGTATACACCTGGATTTGACAGTATCAATCAGTGCCAACAAATATTTGGCTGAGATATGACCGTTTTCATTCATTCTGACATGGAAAATTTTAAACACTACCATTTTCAGCCGCTAGATGGCACTTTAGTATGGCATGCCGTTGTGTCATGTGGTAAGTAAAAGTGGCTATTAATGACACAATCGGCTTGCCGTAGTTTCGTCCAGCTTGCATGGAGCAACCATCAAATTTGCTGCGCCGCCTCGGTGAAATGCAGCTGATTTGACGCCAAAACTGAATTTATTAAGTAAAAGTTCAACTGAGACACACCTTTACTATAATTTTAAGCAAACAAATTATTGCTTTTAAGTATTAATCGTGTTACATTTCAAAGAAAAGCACAGCGAGTCCTCCCATGCATGCTCCTACTTCCGCGTATCGGCTTTTGAAATGCAGCTGATTTGACGCCAAAACTGAATTTACTAAGGAAAAGTTAGACTTATAGGGCGGTGCGACGTGTAATTAAACGTTTTAACAAGACAAGTCTGAAGAACCTCGTAGTGAAATGGATTTTACTCACCAGGGAGTGGCTGCTTGGGCGGCTCTGGTATCTCCAAGCCTCATGGGCACCACTTTGTTGTTGCTGAGGTACTGAGGTGCTGCTGGCAGGTGGAAGGGGTAGGGGTGGGGGAGCACCCTGGTGTCCCAGCCCTGGGTGAGGCTGGAAGTGGCTGTAAGGCACACTGCTGCTGTTTTTGTTGCTGGTTGCAGAAGCGTTTGCTGGTGATGACTGGGTTTTTAGGTGACGATCTTGATCTCCCCTGGTCGGAGTGGTCGGCGTACGGCTGCCACCTTGGCCCCCGCCGAGAGGGCTCCTCTGGCTGTGGAGAGCATGAGGCTCCACAGCCTGACAGGACGGTGCCAGCTCCACTTTGGAACCGGGACTTGGGTAGGAGGAATGAGGGGAGTGATGGTTTCGAGCCTGAGGTTGTAACATGTCTTTATGGAGGTGAGGAGCACATCCTTGGTTGTAGCTTCCTGCGGTGGAGTTTAATAGAGGGGGCCGGTTAGAAGGACTGGAGGAGTTCAGAGAGGACTTTGTGGTGTAGCTGTCCATCCCTCGTTTATTGTTGTCCTACAAAGTCAAGAATAAGAATGTTATCTGTAATTTGTTTAACAAAACATGGAGAATTTAATCAGTATTTGACCTGATGGTCTTTCTATAGTACTCGTGTGTGTTGCTGTTCGGACCTGAACCTCCTGTGATTGTGGGGTTTTGCGATCTGACGTCTGCGGCTGCCAGAGAGCACCATTGTCCTTGTGAATGGGGTTCCAGAGAGCTGGTTTTGGGGGGAGCTGATGAGCTGATGACGAATGCTGAGACAGCACTGTTGATTGGCTGGAGAAACGCTGCGGCCCAGGGTGAGACGCCTAAACAGGAAGTAGATTAATTTGAGCAACATATCTGGAATGAGGAGATCTAAACTCCGTCTTGAAGCTACTATTTTAAAAGAAACGTGAATTTAAGACTGCGCTTTACCTGGTCCGAGCTCCTTTTCCTCTTGCTGGGGCCGGGACAGTCCTCCACAGCAGGATGGGTGGGTATGTGCAGAGGTGGTGGAGGTGTGTGTTGAATCACTGAGTGCTCCCCCAGAGGAGGGCCCGGTCTTTTTAAGTGACCTGCTGGCATCTTCCCTGGGTAGCCCCTCGGCTGTGGACAGAAATTAAACTAAATATTTAAAGACGGACGCATTTAATTAAAACAAAAGCTGGAGGATCGGAGTGTTCACTCGTTTCATCCGTGAGACAAACGGCAGCCTGAACAGGGATTGTCTTTTGTCTATATGGTTGACGAAACAAGGTCACAGCCAATTAGAGAAGCTCCTACCTGGTGCACCTGAGCCCGCATTTCATCTCCCAGCAGTGGTGGACCCCGGGGAACATGCTGCTCCTGAAGACCCCCAATGAAACCACAGAGAAATGTTGAACAGTCTATTCTGATTTAGCTTTAAGGGGGAAAGAAAACCAATATGTAGCTTATGTCACCTTCAGCAGAGGGGCTGGTCTGTTAGGATGAAGATGTGGGTTCAGGAGAGGCCCCCCGCCGCCTGGATAACCACCATTATAGAGACGCAGCGAGTGCTCGGTGGGGAGGGGTAAAATAGGATGGCCTTGAGGGGGAAGGTGAGAATCGTACTGCTTGTCGAGTTGATCCCAGGCTCTGTGAGGAGGAGGAGGATGAAGATGATGAGGGGGATGAAGATGATGAGGGGGAGGCCTCTGCTGCTCCCTCTGCATTCCAGGGAACATCGCTTGTGGGAACTCAACCTTTTCACCTCCTCGCATCGCCCTGGACGGTCAAACATTAATACGACAAACGTGTGTTGACTTTTTATCTCTTTGTGCCGATTGGTTTTAAATTCAGGCAACGGAAGCACAACGTACCCATTACTCAAGTATTTACTGTGATGGTTCAGTCCACCTATAGGTCCAGGAGGTAGATTAGGAAGTAGCTGGTGTTGGTTCATTGTAGGTGAACACCTGGTGAGAAACGACAAAATTGCTTTTAACACCAAGTTCCAAGATTTTTCTTTGGCTCTGCTGTAAACAAAAAAAAACAAACAACTTTTGAGCTGCAGACAGAATTACAGCCAAGCAAAGGTGTTGTTTTTTTAAAAATAAATATTGTGTATGCGTTGTCATGGCTACAGACCTGGCATGTGGCTGCCAGGAGCGGCCGCTCACGGGAGGCCATGGCCCCCGGCCGAGTCCGTCCAGAGGGAAGGAATCCCGCGTGCCTCGCCCGCCTAACTGCTCCACTGCGTGATGCATCCAGCCTGGGAATTATTCACACCCACCTCATTAACACATCAAGAACAAACAAAGTCAAAATGCAAAGGTTGCATCTTATTTACATGATTCGATTGTCTGGAGCTCTTCGTGTTTAATCACTAATGGGTTTACCCTCCCCCAAGTTCTTGTTATTTTGCTTTTACGGAGTCAAACTTTTACCAAAGGGGTCTTGATAAATAGTTTTTCGGGCTTTCTGAAGATCTTTTGTTATTCTTTACACTTTGACTTCAGTTTGATCAAATATGACATTATGTT